CCTCTTCTTTTTCGGGCACCGAGAGGCAGAGAGCTCCGTTGCTAGCTGTGAATTTCAACTGCCGCCATCTGAGACTTGAGTGTTCCTGAAGGAGGGGAGGGTAGCATCAGCTACCCTGATAATAAACTACCCTGATAATAAACTAGCAGATCTTAGGTTTAGGATAGTGACACTATTACAGAGGCAAAAGGTGTCGCTGAAGGAACTACAGGTGATCGTAGGGCACCTGAACTTCGCCTGTAGAGTGGTGGCTCCTGGGCGTGCATTTCTGTGGTGACTGTGCAATGCCATGAAGGGTCTACATTGACCAAGGCATAGAACCAGGATCACATGAGGAATGAAGGAAGACTTACTAGTATGGAGTCATATTTTAGCACAATTTAATGGGATCTCATTCTGTAAAGGTGAGATCGAGCTGAAAGCTGATTTCCAAGTACACTCAGATGCAGCCAGATACTTAGGATTTGGAATTTACTTCAGAGGGAGGTGGTGTGCTGGCACTTGGCCCAATGAGTGGCATCGAAATAGCATTACCAGAGATCTGACATTCCTAGTATTTTTTCCAAGTTCGGTAGTACAGTTTTGGTGTGACAATCAAGCAGTTGTTTACATTATAAACAACCTTACGTCACATTCAGAACGGGTCATGACATTGGTCAGAGCACCTTATATTAAGGGCACTGTAGTTTAACATACTAGTGCATGCCCGACATGTACCAGATCTAGAAAATAGGAGAGCAGATGCATTGTCACACCAACAGATTGAGCTGTTCAGGGAACCAAGGAGTTCCCGGAAATTATGCTCCCAGAGGTCTGGCAAATTGGCTTGAAGATGCAACAAGAGTGATAGATTGGCCCTGGCACAGAGGACAAGGAAGGGTTATTCAGCTGTGAGTATAGAATTCCAGGAATTTAGGAAAATGGTTGACCTGGAGCTGGCTTGGCCGGCACAGTTTGACCATTTACAGCAATTTATCATACATCTAATTAGAAAGGGACTGGCACCAGGAACTATTCAAGGAAGGCTGTCAGCACTAGCCTTTTACGCAAAAATTAACGGCTATAGTGACCACTCAGGGGATTACCACATAAGGAAAATGATAAAAGGATGGTCCAAAGAGAGGGGTAGAGTCCAAGGTACCAGGGATCCTATATCACCCTCGTTATTAGAATGCATTTGCAAACAGTGGGCGCTCTTATGTAGGGACAAATATGAAAGGGTCCTATTTGACCCCAAACTGAGGAAGAAAAACAGCCACCCACAAATACAGTATTTCTGCCATACATCAAAGGGGTCGCAGACCGCATGGGGAAACTTTTGAAAAAACACAACCTACAAACAGTATTCAAGCCTACCACAAAAAAACAACAAATGTTACGGTCAGCAAAGGAGAGAAGGGATCCCCTCACCACTGCAGGAGTATACTGGATACCTTGTAGTTCTAGACAGGTATATACTGGAACCACAAAATGAAGCATCCACACCAGAATCAAAGAATATGAGAGACACTGCAAACTAAAAGAACCGGAAAAATCTGCAGTAGCTGAACATGCCCCAAAACAAGCTGGACATGAAATTCTATTTCAAAATACGGAAATACTGGACAACACCAGCAATCATTACGTTAGACTGCACAGGGAAGCCATTGAAATCCACAAACACCAGCAGAGCTTTAACAAAAAAGAAGAAAGTTTAAAATTCCACAAAGCTTGGCTCCCAGCACTGAAAAATACAGCCTGCAAAAGGTCAACGACCTCTACCCAGCCACAAGGACCGGTGATCACTACACACAAAAGACCAGGTAACAACACACGTCAATCACAGTGACAGATAATCTCTCCTCCTTATCACAACAATGCACCCACAACAAACACACACTGATCACCATAATCACCCATCTCCTGAAAAGGACAACAGCTGATCCTAAAGCTATAAATACTCAACTCCCCGAGACTATGTAAAACAAAGCTGGGAACTAATATACTCTTGGGCCTAGAAGAAGACAGGAGTGTAGGGCAAAGTCTAGGATGTACGCATATCCACTCAGTATATACTGGAAATGAAATTGGGGGAGTAGAGGGGTTAACGAGGCTGGAGTCTCTGACTCCAAAGGGGGAGGAGTTAGTTTAATTTGAGGGGTTAGTTAGGTTTTTTCCTTGGTTTTTTCTCTTTTTCTTCTTCACTTTTTCTGTGGAAAAAAAAATAATAATTGAAAAAACTTTAAAAAAATACTCAACTCCCAAACAAACTGCACCAGAGCACAGAGTGCTACTCCTGTCCTCTGAAGATGCCGGCCACAGAGACTGGCGAAACTTTAGGAAGAACAACCTTCAGAACATGGCCAAAGAGTCCGAAAAACCCACAACAACCATTAGATCCCAGCCATGAAAGCCTTCAGGAATACAAAGAAAGACATCCCTATTTTTCTCATTCACCACTGCTCAGTTTTCCTTCCTAATTTTTAACATACTCTGTCTATACCCATTTTTTCCCTTCAGTTCACAATGAGTTGCCAGAGTCTTCTCTTCTTCTACCTTCTCCAGGAGCACACAGACCTTGAAAATGTTAATTATTTGAACCACAAGCCACAAAATTACCAACCATCATGACCATTGGTCATGGTAAGGTTCTTGGGAACTGTCATCCAAATATTTACTTTCTAACCTCCAGTAAACGTCTTTTGCCACCATCTTCTTGAGAAGTTCACTCTCCTTCCTCTTCTCTGACATAAAGTCAAGGATGGTCCTAGATAAACTTGACTTGGATAGAGATCACCATGTGTGGAAAGGGAAAGTAAAACCTTTTCTTTTTCTCCCATTTTCTTCTTATATTTACCTACTATTGTTCGGGCTGGAACAAAACTTTAAAATTTTACTTTTTTCTTACTGAAGTCCCAGAATCTCAGGAAACTACAGCATTCAAAAGGAGGATTCTGGGAGATATATTTTTTAAAAAAAGTAATGTCTCAAGCTCTGGGAGAACCAAGATAGAGAATTTAAACCTAGGAGCTGTTGTCCAGTAAGCATCCATCCATCCATACATCCATACCCTGACAGCCAGCTCATTTCTACCCTCTGTGCTCATGTAGTAGCCAATGTACTAGAAGATAAGGTGGTAAGTAAACCCTCCTATTACCTTTTTTGCCTATATACCAACAAAGATTCCAATTTAGAGCATAATATACATTTACCTGTTGCCTCCACATATATTTATTTAAAATATTTTACCTTTCTTTCCTCCCTAAAAAATGACCCAAGGTGGCTTACATCATTAAAGAACAATATTTAAAACCTAAAGCAGTAAGCATATAGATTTTTGAAAGAGCCAAACAAATATCATGTTCGTTCAGACTGTATATAATGCTCATTCGGACTAGATTTTTCTTTATGAACTTTCCACTAACACCACATGGTAAGAACTGCTATTAGGTGCTCACCAAATAACAACAGCTGAATACCAAGCACTTCTCCTAGTGCTTTAACAATCAATATTCTACATCCTGCAGGATTCTCTCCCCTTGCTTCAGGCTTTCCAATTCAAGACATGAACAGTGCTTGGGCTGGACACTGGCATGTTACAGAGAGAACACATGTATTTTTGTTCCCCCTTCTCAAGCAATTGCAGTTGCAGGACCGTGACCTTCTAGAACTGTGAGAAGCTACTAAGTGCAAAGAACAACAGGTTGTGGGATGCTTATGCATATCCTGTGTGGCTTTGAACAGATACTGCAGAAGGCAACTTTTATAGCGGCAAGGCAGGGAAATATCAGTTTGGATGCAGCAGGTAATTCTCATAGCAACTTTGGGAAGAGCAGCAGCTAAGGCTGGCTGAAGGAAGGGACAAAGCAAACCCCCCCCCCCAAAAGGATCTGTCAAGTTTTTATTGTAAATTAAATGAAAATAATAAACAAAAGACCTTGTCATCATATTGTGAAGTGAGGGAGACAGATTTTATTTACAATTCTAACATCTATAGAGAATTTATGGATCTCTATAGTCCTTTACAACTTTATATTTCCAGGTTTTGGCCACTGGCCATTCTTAATTAATCAGGACAAGTTTGGCAGCTCAGATTATCCTGATGTTTGGCTGATGAGGAAATGAACATCTTGAGGACACACAGTAGACATATGTTGGGTCATGTAAGTGCCTGGTGTTGTGTCCAACACATGTTTGGAGACACAAACCTTCTCTTTATGTTTTACATGTTTTCCACAGGAAACACAACATCAAAACATTTAGACAGGCTTAGGCAGGATGGCTCTAACACCTGGAAACTGGGGAGGATAGAGTTTCAGCAGGCCACAGCAAACATGGTTCAAACTGTGAGAAACCCTGAATACTGAGCAGCCACAAGGTTTCTTATTAAATTTCCCTAGAAATATCCTATATTTGGCTATATGAATACTACCATTCGTAGTCTTATAACAGTCAGTAAATAAAGAAGTAGGCAGAAATAAGAGGCAGTTACATCCCAGTTCCTCAGTTTTATTTTAAATATGAAGATTTAAGGCAGACCTTGTTCAAACAACTGATTCTGATCCAACTAGTAGTATTAAGGATTCCAGGGGGAATTATCCAATCAGTCCTAAAGTTACTTTCAAAACAACCATGTAGCAACTTCTGTTTATTGTCTTCCCATCCTATATTCTCTTTCCTACCATGGCAAGTTTCCCTAGCAACCACTAATACATGCCCCACCTGGGGTCAAGCAGCAGCTTTTGCTTCATTCTCACCAAAGACTCTGCAGGTCAAATTATGCTTCTTTCCCAGCACAGCCTGTCTAGAAGATTTTTTTTATCACACTTGAGCTAAAGATGCAAGTTCTCCTTTATCAGGTGTAAGCCACTGACAGGCATACCATCCGCCTAACTACTTCATTTGCACATAAATAAACCTGCCTGTGTGAGGTTGAAAGCTGTTTGGGGACATTTTGTCCTTGTAAACATCACCCTCGAGCAGCTCCAGGCAAAAGGACAAGCAAAATCATTTTTACTTACGGTTGGCACAACTTGATAAGGTCCTGGTCAGTGGTGCCGGGTGGAAGGCCTCGGATGTACAGGTTGGTTTTACTCAACTGTTCACCACTGCTGTTGTTGCTGTTGTTGTTGCTACTGTTGGTGCTGGGGCTAGGAGGAGCCATGGAATGTGGAGCTGGTGCATAGGAATGCTGAAAACAAGGGGAAAATATCTTTATTGGAAAAGAAATACTTTACTGATAAGTGAAAGTTGAAGCAATGATCTGTATTTAATGGCATTTTATAAAAAGGGCATTTTATTGTGGGCAATCAGGTGAAAACCATCTTCCTCTTCAAGCAGAACTAATTTCAATTATACATTATAAGAACCACTGTGACATTCTTTCAAAGCAAGATTTTGGTCACTTGACTGCATTGAACTTTCAGGGACATCACTCTTTTAAGAGGTGGAGAAGGGATGTATAAGCCATTTTGGACGTTAGAACACTCAGTATAAGTGATTCAGATCAATCCATCAGTATAACATTACATGTTCTCACTCAAGCCACCAGATCGTCTACTTGGAGTATGAATTTGAAATGTCCATGTAGTTTGTAAAGGAAACATGCATGCCAGAGATAAGAATATACTATCATTCTCAGAAAAAAGGCATCTTAACATAACAACATCTTGTAAAAATGGACAAGGCTGGGTTTTGCAAAAAACACTACTGACATTTTTTTTTTGCACAAAAAGACCTGAAATGTGTAAGATAAACAAAAACCCTTGTACTGTAATTTCATCCAGTAGGGAGAAAACAATGGAATGAAATAAGCAAGAATGAATTAAACAAAGAGGTATATCCTTAATCAGGTATATAAGGAAAGGAGGTGTAATATTTTGTTTTTGTTTTTTTAAACTCATTCAATGATGTAGCATATCCTCCCTCTTCAGTGCTTCTCAGAAGATGGCAAGTGCCAATAATCAAGGAAAACCTTTTCACTTGCCCTGTCATAAGAAACACTATGTACATGTTACAGTAAAATTTCAATGAAGTTCTGTAAAACAACATTTTGGGCTAAGTATAACTGTTAGTTGCAAATATAGGAGATCCACTGAATTAACAGCACTCTGGTAAGTCAACATTTATGTAAATATCTGGGAACCCAAGGTTGGGAACTACTGCAATAGCGCAATGTTGGATGTAGAACACTGCATGTAAACATGTCTTCTGTGTCTAAGGTGTGACCTAGCATGACTGGTTTTGAATGGAATAACAAAACTTCAACACCATCTACATACATTGTTTGTCAAAGGACTGAACCATGTTTCAATAACTCCTCCCATCCCACCACTAGCCCCCATCAAGATTCCGTTTTTTTCTAGACTTCACTGTTTTGCAGAATATTTATAATAGTCATTTAAATCAGTTCGCCTAGCTAACAGGATTTATATTAAATTTTTAATTTAATGTTTTATACAAATCAGGAATAAGGAAAACATCCCATTGAACTTATATCTGGCTATAGACTTCCATTCAGACAATAATGTGGCTGAAAGTATTCTATTCTATTCGAATATACTATGCTAAATAAACTCACCAAGGTGCGTACATAATGAAACCAGTTGGTTTCCCTTAACCAATAACTAACAGTCCACCAATGCTGAGATAGATCAAAAGAGGTTTATTGTGACAATCATGATACCTCCTCTGATAAGAGGCCAAAACTGCACTCTTTTCCTACTATACTGCAGTACACCTAGTATGTAATCAGTTTTTGATGCCAAGCATGTCTGTTCTGCTGATTTAGAACAAGAATATTTATTACAAAAGACCAAATTGCAACATTCAGATTACTGCAAGATGACAATCTGAACCTCCAGAAGGTGTAGATGTCATTTTCTTATACAGATGTGGAAGGATAAAATAAAAAATGAGGATCAATTAAGAGGTATTTTTGCAGAGGAAAAATTTCACATTGGTGAATATTGGTAAAACTGGAACAATGGTCGAAAGAGGGGAAAAATAAACTAAAGGATAGGCGATTGACAAAGTTTGAACATATTAATAAAATATGGAGAAGGAAATAAGAGAGAATTGGTAATATTTATAGAATATTTACAGATCAGTTAGGTGTATTAAAAACACTATTCAAAGATGTGCTGGAGATATAAAAAAAGAACTGGGTACATATTGGCATTTCCAGTGGGAATATAAAGTTATACAAAGAGTTTGGAGGAAGGTTTTAAAAGAAATTAGAGAAACAGTAGAAGTCAACATTGGAGCATCATCAAGAATAACACTTTTATTGTTAATAGATAATCATGACATAAATAACTCAACCAAAGAAAAGACTATAAATATGATAGCAGCTCAATTTCTTACAGAAAAAACTAGAAGAATTGGATTTTTAACTGCACGAATGGTACAATGAAATTTGGAAAATCATGATTACAATAAATTAACATCTGAAATGAAGTTTTAAAAAGGAGTGTTGAAGATCAATACATTTAATGAGATAAGGCATGACTTTATAAATGCCATATTGAATAAAGGAAAGGGGGGAAGCCAGCGCAAGAAAATATGTATTTCTAGAAGGGATGAGGCGTCATTTAAAAGATGGATTGAATATTGTTGCGATACTGTATATAGTGTTTATGGATGGTCCCTGAGGTGACGGGTGCACACAGATGTCCTTATATGGATGCAGATCATAAGTTATTTTATTCTCTTGCGCAAATCTGAAAAATTTCAAATGTTTTCTCTCCACTGGGCAAAATTAATGAGAGTTACTGTGTATTTTTTGCACTTCAGCACTTTTGAAATGTTTTTTGCACAGATGAAAAATCTGTCTTTTACACAGAAGACCAAAATGTGTGCAAAATCCAAGGTTTTAAAGATAAGGTTTGTGAAAATGCTACGAGAGAGAGAGAGAGAGAGAGAGAGAGATGCTAATCTTTTCACTCTTCCAAAATCTCACAACAGTTGCCTATTTTTCGATAATGTGTCAATGCACCCATTTTCATCAAATACAAGATAATGTATTCATATTCATTAAATCCCTCATAATATTTTTTTAATTGAAGCATCCCAAGCTTTGAATAATAAGGTGAAAAGCTGGATCAAGACATCCTGAAGCTAAGCTATACAGAATTTATGACACCCCACAACATTACAAAAAAAGCATGCTTTTTAAGGCTGGCTGGATAGCTCAGTGGTTTTCATTTAGAAGGTTGGGAATTCAATTCCTCATTGTGCCCCCTGGAAGTAAAGGCAGCCTGTGTCCTGAAGCTGTACAGTCCTAGATGCCCTTAGAAGAAGGGAATGGTAAACCACTTCTGAGGATTCTCTTCCTAGAAAACCCTGGAGTCGACCACAGATCAGAATTGACTACATGGCACATGGTTAAGTATTATCATATCTTTTTTTTCAAAGAGAAAAAAGTTTAACTGCTGTTGCATTATAGTTGCATTTAATTTAAATTATCTCAGGTACCAAGATCCTGAATTGGAGCTTACTCAACTGGTTTATAAATCTGGCACTGTTAAAGTGCCTATCCACTCCTCTACTGATGAAGCAGCCAATTTGCACATACTCTGCTTCCCCTCCATTCCTTGCTCTCTCTCTCTCTCTCTCTCTTTCAGCTTACTCTTCTTAGTTCATGTTACATGCCCAGACTGTGGACCATATTTTGGCTATTTCCATAATGAAATTTTTAAACATTGCACATGGGGGGCATTGTTAAGTTCATATGTGGCATATATTCCTTTTTTACCCAGACATTTAGAGCTGACGCTTTACTGAATTAGAGATTCCCAGATTACACGCTAATTCTGTATGTGAAGAACATTCTCTTAAATACATTTATGATTATTGTTACAATACCCGAAAGTTCCTTTGCTCTGCCTTAAAAGCAGAAGCATTTTCTCTCTAGCAAACACAGACATCCAAGAAGCGCCAAATTCATTCCAAAGGACAATTTGTTTAACCAGAAGCACTTCTCTTCTTCCTTAACAGAGTTGTCCTGAACTCTTATCAGTTGCCAGGCACACAGAGTTGACTTGTTTTCAGTATCTACAAGCATCTTACCATATCTAGCTATAGCTATAATGTAAACATTTGTGAAGAGAATTTTTAAAAATCTTTTTTTAATGTTAGATGTCCCTCTTCCAAGAAAAAAGGAGAGTAAAACGTTGCTTTTCATGCACTTTGATGCATTCCATAGCAAACGTCTTGCTTTTCATTGCTATCTCTAAAAGATGGTTGCCAACAGCAGAATCATTCAAATTAATGCACTTACATATAAATGGATAAAAACTAAAGATGCAATGATCCAATGAACACTTCAGTTTTTTACTTGTCAGGATGGCTGGCCATCACTGATAAACATGAGAAGTACCTCTCCCAGCTGGACACTATCTCATTATTTACACTCTATAAATAATTAGTTTTGGTGAACTTTGCTAATGAGAGAGATAGCTGTTCTACAAAGTGCTGCCACTAAAAGAGACAATATAGCTTAGGATAAACAGGCCAAGTATTCCACTACATCCTGTAGGGGTCAGTGACCAGCAGGGTGACCATCAACAACAGCTGAACCTTGACTTTCTGCTACTCTTCAAATTAAAGGATGGCATTGGTAACAAAGAAGAAAAAAACTGTTTCAAAAGCATTAGGTTTCACTACCCAGAGCTGTTCCTTTCCTCTATTAATGAGAGTTCTTGAGGTTTCAACTAGTTTTTATCCCCTTGCTCTCCCTCACTATCCTAGCAAGCCTTCATTCCTTAAGGAAAAATGGGGGAAATAGTTTGAAATATGAGGCTCCCTCTTTACTCTATGCTCAAAAACCCCTTTTGTTACCAGTGGTTGCATGAGCATAATCATCCTTTAGAGTTCTGGCTTGTACAATTTAATGGGAAATGTGGAGAAAACTCTCTTCCTGTGCTTATACAAATTATCCTTTTTATGCAAATTTCTAGAACATGCATTTACAGCAGAACACCAGTTTTACACCTTAAATCTTTGTAAAATCAGCAATAGCTGCAAAAAAAACACTCTTATGATCCCTGATCCCTTCACCCACAAGTGCAACCCTATTCAAAAAGCTTTCTCCATACTGAGTTCTAAATCTTCTTCTAGTCTATCAGAACCCAAGATAGGGCATCATTTCCCTTTATCATTGGTATCACAAGTTCAGCCAACCTTGGAGTA